TTCATGTTAAGCTACCTTCACTTTCTGTAAATAAGCTATATATATACATATATATATATATATATATATATATATATATATATATGTATATATATAGCTTATTTACAGAAAGTGAAGGTAGCTTAACATGAACACGGAAAAGAAAACACCTTCCACCTTACCTGAGCACTAGCTTTCTCAAGCGGAGCGTTGTCCTGTTGCATTATATCAGGAGTTACACTTAACATGAAAATAAGATGAGTAAGTGAAGTGAAGAACCAGCTCTCATTTGATGATAAGAATATGTAGCGTTTCGTTACTACTGAAGACAATGTGTCCAACACCGACATTTGCACTGAAAACATGCAATCTATATTTACTCTAATCAACCATGGTAAACCTCTGAACGGTTCACCGCCCCATCGCGGCCGGGAGGTGTTTCTGGGTGCTGGTCCGTTTCCATGAAGAATCCTAGCAAAGCGTGAACCAATACTAGAATTCACCACCGTCCTTGTATCAAACTAGTCGCATGGCGGCAAACCTTCCTCTGATCCACAACGGCGGTGACTGCCTATGGTGGTGACGACCTGGGGCAGACTTTGGCAGGGGTGACCTCGAGATTAAAGGGAACCACAATGGCTAAACCAGGAAAACTCCGAAGAAGTAGAAATCGTGCTGCGGCCCGCACAACCAGTAAACATTGGTCTTCCAATTATCCAAACAGCCAAGTAACCATAACAAAACTTTAAAAAACCTGGTTGATCACTCAATCACCTTTCACGTTTTCAATCGGACGACTCAAGATATACAGCACACAACGCATGATGGACGATGTCAGACTCTCCAAGTTGATTTCCTAAAATGAAAGGTATGGTCCGTCTATGAAATTTCTACACTGTGTTCACGTTAGACAAATAACAATGCATATAGCTAAACCTTATTCTCCTTTCGACTTGCAATGCCATAGATACTGTATAAAAGCTGCAGCAGTTTTAGCGCATCACCTACCAACAAGCCATTCCATAAACAATCCACGGACCGAAGAGCCATGTAGGAGATATTTATTCCAACCTATAAATTAACTCAGAGAACCATGTATGAAAATGAATTTGATACCCAAATCCTTATGGGAGATTTTCGATAAGTGTCGCTAATTTCAAGACACGTGGAGCACTTATCGAAGAGATTTTGCTCTAGAGGTAAATATAATGTTTATTTCAAAAATCCAAGCAAATTTTCAATGGATTAAAAACGATCTGGATTTCGAAAAGTCTCAACGAAATTTGCTGTTCGAAATATAGTATTATCCTTCCAGAATAAGAGAAACTACGCATAGTAAACGAAAAACAGTAGATTCTAATGGTTTCCTTCTCGGTTGATGAAACTCACTATAAACTATCGTTCTTTTGAGTTGGACGGGGCATCAATTTTGGACTTGAACACTTTAGGCAGTTCTATGTGATTCATATCAGAATGCCTGCATTGAAAACAACTAGGGAACATCATTTCACGTGAACAAATTAATATCAAAACGAAAGGAAAACATAGACGAAATCAATTGCATGGCAAAAGAAAAACAAGTAAAACGAGTTAGTTGTGGGAAATACGCTACTTTTTACTGCATTCCAAGGATTTTACCTGAGATAAAGGTTGTGGAGAAATATTAGGAGGCAATGACGACGACACAAGAAGATCCGTGCTTATTAGGTGATCGAAAATCTGAAAACGTGGTAGTAAAACAACTACTTAACTAATGAAGGAAATATCCTCAAAGAGAAAAAAAAGAGAAAGAGAAAAAACACACTTCATGAATGAGAGCTGTGAGCATAACTACTTGAAACCTGCGGCTATATCCATTCTCAGAAACACTCTGAAACCAACTATACAAAGACGTGAATTATTTGTCTAGAAATATCGATGAATGAAATTAATGTTTAAAAAAACAGAAAACATGAATAAGCGGATGACGTCTTGTCTATGTCCAAGACTCTATGGTGAACTTGCAAATCATAATAATGGAAAACAATGCATCACATTAAACACACCTCTGTTATAACATCTAACAAGCTGTCAGTTCGTCCTCCTGCAGCAACTTGAAAATCATCGCAAAACAACTTCTTCATGAAGTCAAGAACCCCTCTCACACTTGGAAATGCGAGTACTAAATGGAAATAAACTAGAGTTCAAAAGCAAAGCACCTTATCACTGCAGGCTAAGAAAATGGGTTGGTTTTTCTGTTCTCCCATAAAAGATGCACGCTACTTAGCGTTGGTTTCCGAATCCAACTGAGGCATCTTTTCGTCGAATGAAGACTTCCTGTATTTTCAACAATACAAAATAATTTTCTAACAAGTAGAGTGTGGAGTTGTGAAGATGACAGTATTGCAGTTGAGACCTTGAGCTAACGTTCTATGGCTAGATGCAACCGTTTACTGTGTTATTATAGTATCCCATGCAAAAACACTGCTGTCGGCATTTTGAAAGATTTTACAACTTATGTTCAGTCTATTTCGGTATTCCACCCAATGGTTTACCGCCTCATCATGGCTGGGAGGTGTTCCTGGGTGCGGTGCTGCGATGTACAGCGGGGAGGGGATTCATCCTACCAGCAGGGTCTTCCAAGCTGAGTAGTCCGGCGTTTTCATCAGGAAACGGCTAGGAGTAAACCAACACCAGAATTCATCACCATCCTGGAATCAAACTAGTCGCATAGCGGCAAACCTCCCTCTGATCCACAAAAGTGGGGACGGCGTTGAGTGCTGACGACCTGAGGAACGCTTCAGCTAAGCTGACATCGGGACTCCAGGGAACCATAATTGCAAAACCAGCAAGTCTGCGTAGAATAGCAATCGTGCCGAGGCCCATACAATCAGTAACGACGGCCCATCCAATTGTCCAAGAAAGTACTTCGCTTTTTACATACCCGCATATTTCACACAATAACTATAGTGATTAATACGAAATAACTATTTGCTTTTGGCCAAATTACCAGTCACTGAAACTTTTCGAAAGGTTTTTGTAAACCGCTAATTTTAGAGAATACTCTTGTCTGCATGTGCACAGTGCAGTGGAGAGATTCTGGAACGCACTAAACTGAAAATGGACACTACAGTGCTCAGCCCATATTGTACTGTAGTACAAACGTGTATGGACACTATATTGTCCACATTGGGAGCTATGGGTTGGAGAAATTATCTCACGAAAGTAATACAGTTGTAACCAAAACTTAAATTTCAACTGCAGAGCCAGTATCTTGCACTTAATATGCAGCTATTGATTCAAGGAAAAATAGAGTACCTCTTTGGACCTTCTCCACTTCTGGTGTTCCAACTGCACTTCTATCCGCAGATTCTGATCTAGTAGACGTTGCATTAGTTTCCTGAAAATGTTAGACTTTAAAAAACCACCACTGATGACCTAAATGTAACTAGGAAACTACTGAAATACCTCAAAAGACCGACTTTCTATAAACCTCGGCATAGATATTTGATATATTTATTTATATGATCTTATAAACTGATCTTAAGCTGATGCCAGATTGGTATAGGTCTTCGTTGTCGTTGTCGTTGCTGTTTGTGTTGTTGATTGATGGCTGACGTTTCGGCGGTTTGGCCTTCCTCAGAGCCGTGCTGTTACGAATGTAAAAGGTGCTTTCATCATACCAAAATGAAAAAGTGCTCAACAGTTTGCAATGATAAGACAATTCCCACTCCTAACAGCACAGCTCTGAGGAAGGCGAGATCGCCGAAACGTCAGCCATCGATCAACAACACAAACAGCAACTACAACAACAACAACAACAACAACAACAACAACAACAACAACAACAACAACGACAACGAAGACCTATACTAACTTCGCATCAGCTTAAGAAAATCAGTTTGTAAGATCATATAAACAAATGTATCAACTACTGAAATACCTGAATCAATGAAAAGAACATCGCTAAAACAAATTCTTCAGAATGAGCCATGGTGTAAAAACTAGGTGAGTTTTGATAGAGAAAGGTGATCATCTGAACGACAGCACATGGATATTCAATGGTCCAACCTTCGACTGCCTACAATTTAGAAATGAAGCATTAACATTACAATTTCAGAAACAGAATTGAATTTCTGAAAAAATGTGTCTCTCAAATAAAGGTATGGGTGAAGTGAATTCCATTCCATAACTCCTGAATTCGATAAAGCAAGGGAAAACAGAAGAATAAAACCAATACTGCCGACCTCATTTCCAGAGTATATACAAGCTCTAACCATAGCCAGCAGCGGTACAAGAGCATCGTAGCAAAATTCTGCTGATCTAATAGCTTCATATACTGAGCTGCAAAATGATATCAATTTTCAAATTTTCACAGTCTGTAAATTTATATTAAAACAATTATCTCCTACCTGTTAAAAGATAACCCGAAAACATGCGTCCAAATTTGCTCGACATTGAAATTTTCACAGAATCGAAGATCTTTTACTGGCTAAAAAAGACCCGTAATATTAATAAAGTTCTGAATACATTCTAAGGCGACATCAACGCGATTCGTGTAGGAAATTCACAATCAAAAACAAACCTGCCCTACGAGCACGGCAAGCATTGCCATGTAGGCATGCGGCTTATCTGCATGTACAGCCATCAAATGTTCTAAAGCAGCAAATCCAGCACAATTCTGCAGCTCAGGATTGATATCAATCTTACTGCCCACCGCTCCACCATGAGCGGAAACAGAAAAACCCAAAACCACCTAAAATTATCTATTACCACAGCAAGAAATAGCTATAAAACCTCTTTACACTCTTCTGAAACAAGTAGTAACCTCCCAAATTATACATCTAAACTAACCAGACTTTTAACCGCTTAAAATCACTGATAAGCCTTTACTTCTCATTTTACCACCTCAAGATCTAATTTACTTAAAAAATACTCACAGCCGCTCGATTCCGAACAACAGAATCAGCATCGGTTAACCACCCGCCATTTGACGTTCCTTCACGAAATTTCATCAACAAGTGTGGATGCGCTAGCAACGCAAGAAGAATCCGTAGTGCAAGAAACACTGTTCCCGAATGCACACCGGGCGAAAGCAAGCAATAGATCCAGTCGAAACCAAGTACTCGCACTATTTGGTCTGTCATACTAAATGTCAGAAGCACTTTAAAGCATGGTTTTCACAAAATATACTGCTCCTTTACAGTCTATACATATATATATCAATATATATATATATAGTCTATATACATATATATATGCATATGTACGTATATACATGTGCATATACATATATATATATATATATATGTATATATATCAAACGTGTATCTACTTCGCATACTATTTACAAGTATTATTCTTGCTTAATTATCCCTTTTATACTGTAATTGGAAAGTAACATATACTGATAATCACTACATGTACTTAAATATTAGACCCAGTCGTTCCGTATAAAGAAAAATTGTAGAATAACTATAAAAGCAAATCTCCAGAAAGTTGTCTTACTGCTGATTTAGCCCTGGACTTGAATGCGATAAAAAATTAGCTACCATGTTCAAAAGGCGATTCCGAATGTAGACCATATACAACACACTTGGTTTTCCTAAAAATACAACACCATGCGTAGAAAAATTGATCCAGATTTTAAAAACTACATGGAAAAAACCATTTGAAAAATAGCCTAAAACCAAAACCTACATACAGTTCGAAAATAATTTCACAACATTACCGCAAAACTGAATTAGTCAAGAGCCTTGCCAAATAACACGAACCTTCTTCAGGCTTTCGATTTGCAGTGAGTTTATTGTGAAGCTCCGAAATATGGAAAGGTAGGCGCGATTCCTGTGCGAGATCGTCAGCACTAAATTAATGTCCAAGTGGATGTGAAATCGTCAGATTACAAACACATTCTTATACAGATCTATGAAATATCACACTAAAAGTATCAAGAGTTAATCTAGTATAATACTGTATGAATTAAACTACATACACTTTTTTCACCTCGTGTACACATATTTGCATACACATATATACATATAGTATATATATATATATATTATGCGCATATATATATATATATTATGCGCATATGGACACTATATACCGCTATCTACTAATGTACATATATGCATGTACACGTATTTGCATACATATATACATATTATACTTTTCTTTAATTTGATGAGTCGACACCACATTTATCACACTGTGTGGGTACCAGCAACTGCATCCGATTCGTTTCATTCGTCATATACTCCATCAACGAAGATCATCAAAACTCTCCTTTGCGTGTAGGTATGCCAGCTACGTCGTTCAACGTTGGTCGAGTCAATTCTCCCTGAAACCCTGGGATAGCTGAGCTAGAGTGTACTTACGTGGATTGTAGGTGGCATACCATTTCCAGAGAAGCCTGGTAGCAATTTCCTGAGTCCAACACTCTACGACATTCAAGATGAAATTAAAATACTAAAGCAACAGCGGAATGGATGGTTGATGTCAACCACAAAAACGTCCACTCATGGTTTGACTCGTCTTCTAAGAGAATACCTGCATTCTCTTAGAGCCTATCCCACCGTCGTTTCCGCCCATCTGCCATCTGTTCTTTTTATTACGTGACCAGCCCACCTCTGTTCGTTTTCGCTATACATTCTTCTAGATCCCGAAAATGGGATAGAGATTCAAAGATATGAGTTGCACATATCGTCTAGACCTTGCGAGTGCTGCTTTAATTTCAGAAGACGTCTCTCAATTGCTCTGTTGGTGGTGCGCAGATCTGCTGACGAGTTTGAAGTATTAGCCAATATTTCTACCTCATAACAGAACGCTTCGACGACTGATAGATTGAAAAAGTGAGCGCGGAGTTTTGGCTCTGTTAGTAGGTCGGTGCTTATGCGAGTGGCCCGAATTCAGCTCACGCTGCTCTCATTCTTCTGCCTTTATTATTCCTCTTTCCCAATGTTCTTCTTGCTCATTGAACGTACTAGATTATGAGGTGGCAGAGAAGCATTCAGTTGGATTTGTTCACCTTCGCTCCATGGATTCTTCATAACCTGGATCTTCTTCCCATTTATGAGCAGATCCGCCACTTTTTCCGCCCCGTTGAGTTCATTGAGCATCGCCTCTGCTTCACTGGTACTCTTCGAAAAGGCGATAATGTCATCCACGAAACGAGGATTTTGACAGGAAATTTCCACCAGTACATATGACCTGATCGTACCAATCAAGTGACATCATTATCCATTGCAATGCAGAAGTAAACACCTTCGGCGATTTTGTTTCGTCTTGTCGAACACCTTTCCTATCTGTTTGGGGAGGGGTCGATAAATACCCGTAAACCCTGTAAATATGTGCTGCAGTTCCGATAACAGTCTGCTAGTGTCTATATACACGAAGGTTACACTTCTTGGGCGACTAGCATTCATAGAATTGGATTCGTTTGGATGCTGCGAAGCCCTTTCCCGTAGTCGATAAATGTTAGAACAAGGGGCAGATGGTACTCTCGACAAACTTCACTGACTAGTAATACATTTGGATGTGGTCTCTTTGAAATGTATAAAACTATCATCTTCGTGAACATCTTGTATAATGGAATACACTCATCAAGCATATTAGACGGTAATTACGAAGATGTCTTCGGTGACCCTTCTTGGGTACGATGACTGTGTACGATGCTCTTCACTGACATGAGATTTTCTTTTTCTGAAGGTAAGACGTTATGTGGGTTGCGAAAAGCATATATAATTTGTGCCCACCAGCTATAAGCAAACTGGCGGTGATGTTATCGGGTCCTAGAGCTGTGCCCCGCTTCATGGTTTCTATCGCAACTCGGACTTCATAGTCCTGGGTGGTCTTGCACCAGTGATCATTTTTCGTGGCCAGAGACGGGGAATGCGGAACGGAAAAGGTTGGTGTAGAACCTTTCTGTTTTCAATTCCATATCATGGCGAGATGTAGGGAAACTTCTAAGCTTGGTCATCACATCTTTCGCGAAATGTTACGGTCACAAAGGTCCGACAGCACTTCTTCAAACTGAATCGTTTATGAGCTACTTTCTACAATTTTTCTTGCCCATACCTATGGAAATACCCACACAAAGATCTTCTACAGCCGGCAGCTATTATCAGTCGTGTTGGACGTGTTTCAGTGGGATCAAGCTTAACTGTCCTTCTTTTTTCGAACAACTGCTTAGTATTGAATGCAGATGTGGTCTGAACTTCTAGTCTGAGGAACTGAAGCTAGTTCGGGAACGAACAGCGTGTAGTCCTTGGTCGGGTTTGTTTTTATTTGTCGGTTATAGGAGAGGATTTTATTGAGAATATCCTCGTCATATATTTCATGAACGACTGGAGTTTTCAGTTTATGGATGACTGGAACTTTAGCAATGAGGAGACATATATATATATACCTTACATATATGTGTACATATATATACATATGCACATATATATATACAATAGCAAAGTATATATATACGTTATATATATATATATATAGACATTTATATATATAAAAATATGTACATACAAAGGCAGAAATGGAACATGGTAGATGCAAACTTTCTAAACCGGCCTGATATAACGGGTTTAATATATAAGCGGTTTTAAGTGATTGCATCATTTCTATAAACTCGATGTCAAATAATCAAAAAAACTCACGTTGTCGGTAACGTCGCTGCTATGGCCTGACCAAGTTTCAACATGCTCCGATTATCGCATTGTGGTTGAACAATTGCTGAGAACAGATTAAACACGATCTCATTGGTTGACCACAACAGATGCGGACGATCGAAGAGTGTGAACAGTAAGCGAGAAAGTAACGGCGACCGACGCACAATAGTAAGGTTTTCTCGCTGATGACTAAACCCACAGTTTAATAAATAACTGCTCTCAATGAAAGAATAGGAATAATCACTCCTTTCAATCAATATTAATTTCTGCAACTATTATCTCAGCCTAATATCAGAGAAATATCTTGAGAAAAGAGAAGAACAGAGAAGGATTAATGCAGACGTTTTGATAATCTTAGAGTTTCCGAAGTGCTGATGTCTATTATGTACGCAATACTACCCTACGCTGGCTTCGTCTTGGTACAGCCGCCGACTCAATTTATAAGGAGAAACTCAATTTGCCAAAATGTTAACGAATAGTGATCCCCACGATATAATGGATTTGAAGCCTTAATCAAATGATTCATCTTCCAAAAAGGACTCTTTTCTTCTCCATATCGCCGTTCCGTTTACAAGATAACTCGGAACTTTGATAAACAAGCAGAGATGCAATGCAAATACAAGAAAAAACTGCGCGAACCCTATACTGGTAAGGAAACGACATCAAGACCTAAAATTAAACGCACTCGGTGATAAGTTCGTAAAAGTGTTCGTAAAGCAATTTGTGCTGCTCTTCTGGAGCTTTCGCCCACACATCCAAATCACATAATAAATCCTCAAACGCCTTAAAAACAAGATTCAAAGAATCAAATAAGAAAAGAAGATCTGAAAACAGTAAAACTGTAACCTGCGAATTAGGAATCGTAGCAATCTCTCTGGAGGTGTCTAACGTACCCGCCATGCTAAATACCATGTGTAATATGTGTGAATTCAATAAATTCGCCTTATCCTCAAGCAGCACCGCTAGTGTCTAAAACATTCACTTTCAATGTTTAACTCGAAGGAAAAACAAAGACAATACAAAATATACCTGATAAGCTCTATTTTCATGCAACATCGCCTGCAAATTACTATTTGATCTTACAGCAGAAACAACAGCTTTCAAGCTGGCATAGAGACCTTCGGAATCAGTGGCCATAGCGACAAGGCCATAAAGACACGCGTATCCTCCCATGGAGTCCAGCAACCGAGGTACAGGGCGAGGAATGAAAGTGCGCATACCGAGATAACTTAAAATTTAGCATATTTTAGTTTTAAAAAAATAGAATTCGAACCAAATGGGCACACAAAATGTAGAATGTCTAATACTAATCAATTCACCCAATAATTGCTGCACCAAATGCCCGTCCAGAACCAGGAACATGAGCAACGGTATTTAAAAGAATGCGCAACGGAGTACTATTGTCAGTGGAAGAAATCCCAAGCTAAGATTAATATATAAAATATAAACAAGAATGAGTCGTAAGAAAAAAAATTGCCTAGACCTATCTGAAAATGAAGCAAACATTTTAAAAAGTACATATGGGGCCAGGATCTCCGCATCCATTTTGTTATGAACAGCACGAATTTTTGCCAGCGTCATTTCGCTTGTTGCCATCCCACTCAAAGAAAACACGATCTGGAATATACCATCTCCATCCTAGACATAGCTAAACACAAAGTAACGGTCAACCAACTTTTTCCTCCTGAACGAGTGGTGTTCTATCTGGCCCAATGGTTTGCAATGCACCAATATAATGAGGCTGTAGATCATATATGCTACGAATTACTTCAGCTGACAATGGTTCTTCGATTAAAAATGTCGAACCAAGCCGATACCTATAAGATAAAAAACGCAATTAAGTGTAGATAAACATACAACAACTGTCAACGGAATGACTTGAGCAGCCTGTGTGACCACAAAGACATACTTTTAGCAAGAAGCACCTTAAAGATTTTTCGAAGTTTTTTTGAGCGACAACTTAGCCATGAATAATTTAATTCCAATATCTACATCGTGATCGCTTTATATTTAGCATTTTTTAGCTGCCGACTTTACCAGAAAAGATGGGAAACATTTTTAGAAGAGACCCGAACCACAGTAAATTACAGACCTTCGATAGAATCGCAGCACAATGCTTGCGTGCTCACAAGTTCTACATGCCTATACATAAATATAACGGTGCACGGTATACTATATACAAATCACTCCACTGTCCCTTACAAGTAAGCAACATGCCCTGTATCACCTGCAGTCCCGTTGATAGTCGAGTGGCTCGAGCGGGCTCCAGTAAATCATCCATTTTTCCCTGTCGCGTGCAAGAGTAGTTCAGTGGGTTCTGCTCGCTCTAGGGAGTCCTCGAGCCCCATAACTTTCTTCAGGGTTCCTTATGAAGAACTCTGACTATCGGGTCGGTGGTCTTCCTGCAGTACGTTTGACATCCCAAGGAATCCAGTCACTTGTCAATCCGTTGTCATTCATATGTATTAAGTGTAGGGCCCACTTTAACTTCGACTGTTTGGCGTACAGAATTCATCCTCCGGCAAACGGCATCCTTGATTTTTGATCGTTGACGCAGGTGGGAGCCTCCGATCCCATCTCTTACTTGCGTGAAACAGGATACGCTTAGCTTCATCCTTTCGACTGCGCGTTCGATAAAGATGAGTTACCGTTCATCCTGCTTACGCAGCGACCAAGTTTCTGACACATACGTTACGGCAGGAAGTACCGTTCAGTCGAAAAGGTGGGCACGGAGTCGGGTGTTCTTTGTTCTCTTCCCTACATCCTCGATGCTCTTGAAAGTTCCCTAAGCCGCTCGTTTCCTTCTGTTCAGCACTGGAGCTAGGTCGTTCATCTTATTGTTTTCTCGACCTAGACGAAGTCGACCAGCATTCATTCCATCTAGCTAATGTTTGGAGTTATGGGGACAACGTCATCAGCAAAACGAAGGTGGTGTAACTGCCGACCATCGATTTTCACTCCCATATTATTCCATCCCAATGATCGCATGACTTCCTGGGGGTTGTGGTAAATAATTTCGGCGAAATGTGATCGATGGTCGGCAGTTACACCATCTTCGCTTTGCTGATGACATCGTCCTTATAACAGCAAACATTAGCCAAGCGAAACGTATACTTGCCGACTTTGGTGAAGCTTGTGGAAAGACTGGTCTTCGACTAAATCCCACAAAAACGATGCTCATAAGGAACAGATTGGTTGCGTATGTCGCATTCACGCTCAACAGAACGAATATCTCCGAATTCTCCAGCTACGTGCACCTATTTCAAGAAGTCAACACCACAAATAATTTAGTTCCATAGCTGACTATGAGGAAACGAACGCCTTCAAGGATCTCCAAAAGTATCGAAGATGCACTCAAAAGGAGTAAGACTCGAAAATACGCCCATCTTTTCCAGTCCACGATTCCTTCTACGTTAACGTTAACGTATGCGTCAGAAACTGGCTGCTGCATAAGATGTAAGATCAGAAAGCGTTATTACACGCGCGGTCGAAAAGGAGAGACCAGGAGTATCCTGTCTGACATAACTGAGGAAGCACGAAGCATCAACCTATGCCAACGATCGAAAGTTAGGTACGCTGTCGTACACGCCAAACCGGCAAAAATAAGATGGACTGGATACGTGATGAGTATGAACGAGAACCGCTGGACGAGAGCCGTTAGTGACTGGATTCCTCGGAATGTCAAATATACTGCAGGAAGAACACCGACCCGATGGTCAGCGTTGTTCACAAAAACCATAGAAGAAAAGTATGCTGCTCAACGAATCCTCAGAACGAGCAGAACTTACTGGACTACTCTTGCATGCTGTAGGGAAAAGTGGAAGATTTACTGAAAACCGCTCGATTCACTCGACGACCAACCGGATGGTAGGTGATAGGTGATGCAGATGAATGGGTAACTAATGGTGAAAATTTACCTTAAACGACTGGGCCGTCGCAAAGATGGCAATGTCCCGATAACCGCATTCACCACATGCGTATGAGCCAGCTGTGTGGCGGCACCGCCAGCTGTTTGTACAATGTACTGTAAACGCTGAGTGGATACCATACGTCCGTTTACATACACTGCAGCCTTAAACAAAACTTTTGAGTACCACAGTGAAGCAAAACCACAATGAACAACGTAAGGAGATGTTAATGACTAAGCGAACATTGTTCACCTGACTGGGCTTCAATACAGAACGAGAAAGTACGACACAAATGTGTACCCACTCCATAGCTCGAATGATATCTGCCAAGGCAATTCGAATTGCCTAGAGTGCCCATAACCGTGAAAAAGTATGTGGAAAAATCAACATACAGTTTGAGAAAAAAACGGTAGAATACTCTAAATCACCTTTTCTGATGGAAATTTAGCTTCTTTTTCAAGATCACTGCCTGGGTTCTCATGCTCATCTGTAGAAATAAGCAAACTTCGATCCATAGGACTGATTTGAATCGTTAAGCACGCCAAATGGCAAGGACCCTATAATGTAATGAAGTGATAGTCACGAAATTCAACTACTTCACGCAAAAGAGCTAACCAGCTTTCGTCGATCATCCTGCCATGTGACAGTTCTCGTTACAGTGAGCAACCTCAAGGGATGAGCGTCAATTTTTTTGTCCGAAAAAGCGTCAATATATAGCCATCTAAACAGGGAACAAAATCGCAAATATGGATTTCTACCTCCTTGCAAAATCATACTCAGGAATTTTACTTCACTAGACCCGTCTTTCATATATACTGTACAATTTCAGGCAATTCTCGCATTCAATGCGTTTCCTCGCATTGAATGTTTTTGTGTGGGTTCGGCCGCCATTTGAAGATTTTCGTCTCATCATGAGTCATTGAATGCAGGTCGAGTCGACTTCAGAAAGTGAACACTTCACAGACAAGTTGGATACCCACTTCCCCACACCAGAGTGCTGAGGTCAGCAGCGTAATCCAACAAGCACCGTGTTCATAATTACTGGCAACACCACTACTGCACTGCCTGCCTTTATATTTTTTGAAATAAAAGGAATGTAAATAGTTTACGTCGATAAGGAGAATCCATTCAGTGGTGGGAATACTCTTTCGGTTCGATTGTTGGAAAACATGGGTGCTAGTGATGGTATAAACAAGCAACCAAATCCCTCCATGGCCAAATCGGTTTCAACAAAAGAAGGCGCATGAGAAAGTTTTTGATCACGTGGTGTCATCATCGAGACCAAAGCCTTTACCCTGAAAAAAGCTTTTGACAGCTGAAAAATAAGTCAAATAAGTGAAAAAAGTGCAATACCATAAACAACCATTTTACGTTAGCGATTGTTATACTGTACCCATAAAATAAGTAAAATTTAGAAAATATGTGAAATTTAGTTAGAAACATCATTCGCTTACTCATCCACCTATCTTAGTACTTTATCATTAATAAGGAAATTAACAAAACATGAAGGATAAACCTTTTTGAAATGGACTCCCTAACCACTTGTGCAGCTAGTAGATGAAATATTCCGCATTCTACTCTTCAGAAGAATATGCTCTTAAGCAGACGATCCCGGAATGGGAAAAGGACAACGTGACTTGGGACGGCAATTGAATATACGATCCCTTGGTGAGAAAAAGCGCCTCATTTGAATTAGCAAAAGTTAGCTAGTGAAAAATGAACGCAACGAAAATAAATTGTCACAAACAGGGATGAAGTTAGTTCGTAGATAAATTAACTTTCTTAAAAACCTTTGCAAGGGCACCGGTCCACCTTCGTTAGCTCTTATCGGTTCCTCGTTATCCGTTTCATCCAGATTTCGACAGCATAGCGGTAAATCCAGTCGCAAAAAGTGTCTACAATATCAAATATAATAATCTGTTAATATCATCCATTTATAAAAGGATAAGGTGGTGTCAAAGCTTTTTGGAAACTATAATTTATAAGAACACACCTCAACTGGCTGGGTTGCATAGACTGATAAGATAACCGTTCCAATAGGTAGTAAAATGGTTGCAACAGTATATGATTTTCACAAAGGAAAAGTTTGGAAGCAATAGTTAGCAAGTGGCGAGGCATGTCCACCTGAGCCGAAGTGTTTACATGCTAATCAATATATGGTAAGACCACTATTTCCTTACTTGGCACATAAGTTGCTGATTCCTTTCGGGCTTTAATAGCGCTTTTAGCAGAAGAGTACTGTAGTACTGGGCACCGACAACCCACTTAACGTCATCAGAATATATCGATGGTAGGAGTGATAGGATAGACTGGACAGCGCCTGGATGTACCTGTAAAGATAAATAAGTGAACAAACTAATTAAAACAAAACAGAATTTTTAAGAAACGGTGTTAATGAGGAAAGAAAGCACTCCTAAGCAACCAACCAATACTGATGATGTCCAGGAGACGATACAGTCTTCGAGCGACCCATCAGACGAGGTCCATGTTACATCCGAAGACATTCTATAATTAAGACAGCAATCCAGAAAAACTACTTTTTTACCTCAATTGTTAAGGAACAATGGATGAAATTTCACGTACTTCTCATAATTATCCAGAGCCATATTAAACAGAAGACGAATGATGTAACTGGCAAAGAAGATCGAAGAAGGCATTCCATCGGGAATCGAGCTGACAAACATATGTACTCGCGAGCTCAATAAACTGCTTGAACGACTTACAAGTAAGCGCAAAAAAAATTCTGAAGAAACAATCAAAATACACAAGCCTAGACATAAAGCTGTTCAATGACAGTAGTTCTAAACTAAAAAATACCCTGATTGGATATCCTCGTCCATTCTAAACACGGAATGACAAGCGGCCAGCTCATATTTCAGTTCAGATCCCTAGATTGAAAATAGAATTCTGAGGAATTTCAATGCACCAAAATTCCAAGATAGATTTTATTGAAATGCCTCAGAAAAATTTGCATCACTTCACAAATATTGTCATTTTGCATAAAATCTAAATACCCTGAAAGAAAAAACGCAACCTGCAATCGCCATTCTGGCCATGTCACATCAATTACCGTAGCGTTTCCAAATGCGCCAGTTAAACGAAGCACTGTGATGATACTATCCCAGTTCACCTAGGTTAATAATTGACATATCTCAATCTCAATGACCAATTAATGCACTCATCACAGATATAAGTGGTGCTGCTATGCAGAATTCTTGAAATCTCGTGGAAATGTCAAAACGTTAGAGATTGTTATAAACACTAACAGCATGATGCTTAATCTATGTTGCCCGCCGCATGTGAAGAAGTTTAATTATCAGCGGGGAGAATTTCAGGCAACTGAAGTACTTGAGGCGAAAACTTAACAGGCGCAAAGCAGAAGCTTTGTACTATCACTCTTGTAAATGTACTACCTTAGCCGTCACCTATCGTCACGTTGATCGACGAGTGACTCGAGCAGGAACCAGTACACCTTCCGTTCTTCTTTGCTACGTGCGAGAGTAGCCCTGCAGGTTCGCTAGCATCAGATTCTTAAGCATCATATTTTTCTTCTAATGTCTTCATGAAGAGCTCTAGCCATCGAGTCGGTGCTCTTCCTACAGTACGTCTGATATCCCTAAGAATATCCCTTATATTCGACAGTTCGGCACAACGGCATCTTTGATTTCCGATCGTTGACGCAGGTCGAAGCTTCGGATCCCTTCCTTCACTTGTGTGGCATGGGATAGTACAAGCACCATCTTTTCGACTGCGCTTCTATAACGCTGAGTGACCTTTCATCATTCTTATCTAGCGATCAGTTTTCCGACGTATACGTTAAGGCAGGAAAAATAGTGGAGTCGAAAAGGTTGAGTAGGATGAAGTGAGCGGTTTGGAAATCTTCCAGAGTATAGAGGATGTAGTGAAGAGAACAAAGAACACCCGACTCCGTGCCCATATATTAGGTGTATAAGCAATTTTTAAAATACAATTCTTATTTTAAAACCATTTGAAATCAAAACTATCAAAGAAAGGAAAACTATGCATATCGGCCACTTCCTCTCTCCAACGTATGAGCTCCAATCAACTCACTTCGGTAAAGAGCTGTTCATGACAAAAAGTGAGAAAGAAAGCAACAGTCGGTACAAATCCATAATGGTTGTCCCACGACTGCTTGTCTATACAAGTCATAGTGGTAAAAATCTCTTAAGTCTATAAAGAGATTTAGCAACTCCAACTGAAATTAACATCTAATTTTCCACGGACTAATTACCACATGTTTTTTCGCCGACTATGAAATGATTAGAGAGGGCAGCTACCATTCCTTCCTGTTGTATGCTAGTAAAACATAGTGGATTTTGGTCGTTCAGAAAAATAACGAATACTACATTTCTTGCTCTAAGCTGTTGTGAAAAAGCTTGACTAAGATGATGCTAAGAACAAAGAGTTCCAAGTTACCCGAATACTCTTTTTCAAATATTAACACTGGCTTGAAATAACAAACCATATTGTTATCACCCTCCACCGCTTACAGTTGGCGAACACATTTGGCTATATTCCACAACCTGCTGCATGCACAATGAATTGAAATCAATGCATAAAGTGTCACTACAAGCATCTTCCTTGCTGGCAATAATCCTTGTTGCTCTATCGGTAAAGAAACAACGATCATTTTAGTACTCTCTTCAATTGTTATTCCGAAAAATTCCCATACATAAAGATATCTATGTATCGTTATCTCTAGTAATAATTTTGGTAGATTTAAGGCAACCTCGCCAGTAAAAAATCCTTTCCCTCTTGTCAACTCTGGTGGGCCGCAAGTCAAAGGTACAATAGCGAAAAGAACAGCGGATAGCAAGATGTGCTAACGCCGATGAATACTGTCTGTCTGCCTCCGCAATATTCATTGAAATTAATGAATTTTGCCACGAACGTGTTGTTTGGATTTCGAATTTTATTTGTGGAAGTATGATGTTATACAGTTCACGCAAACACCGTAAACTACCACTGTTTTGCATTGCATGAATCCAAAATAACTTCGACATCATCCAGCGAAATTACAATACCTAAATGCACATCTTCCTCTAAATTTAGAATAGTCCTTATTAATCCCAATCGGGTTCATTAACGTGGGTTGAATTATGAACGGTGTCGTTTGACGGATGATCACCTGTCCCGCCTGTCCGAATTTCGACGCCTCCAACTAGACGCAGCGTTCCCAAAATCTGATGTTCACCATGGATTGGAAATCCAGATTCTTGTTCTCACTTGATACAGTGCACTACTACTGTCCTCTCAAAATAACGCTCAGTAATGATGACAACAATTTCATTGTGATAATGTAGGGTCAAAAAACCGTATGGCTCAGAAATAAGAATGCAAATAAGAGGATTTACGCGTTGAGCTATTTCAAAATAATAGACGAAGACCTAACAAAATGTTTCTGGATGTACCAGCTTATTAAAATCACATGGAAAATCCTAACCTCCACGGAGAAATATTTTGCGTTCGACGGCTCGAATCTCATGCTTATAGTCAGTACTTTAAATATTAGGTGGATGAAATCAAGAAGTCTAACTGCTTCGAATGGCACTGTACCTGAATTCGTATTTTCATAAAATATTCCTTGATAAAAAGCAATAAAAGGAAATAGGATTTGTAAAACACTACTATCGCATCCGTCTTCCTTTCATTTTTCAGAAAACGACCGTGCGAAATAGTTGGCATAGGTTTGTAACTATCGTACAAATTTCAATACTTTGCTCAGCCTTGTGCTTAAGACGTAAAGGCTGACACCAAATGATAATGAAAATAGGATACACCTAATACCTAAAAACATAACGCGATGAAACAAAACCAGAAAACAAAGGATTTCGCAACCTGCAGTCCCATCCACTTCCGAGAAAGCGCCTTCCAATCCAAGAAGCATTGATATAAGGGAAAGATAACCGCCTGTCTTCCGGAATTGCACCCGAACTTTATGACTCTCACGAAGTACAACCAGTACTGTCTAAAAACTGTGGGATACTAGTCAATAGCATATCTACCGACTAATATATGTATCTATAGGAATTTATATAGAAGTCAGGAATGACGTATGTATAGTGCTATTTATAACTAGTAATAATTAAGCAATAGCAAACTAAATCAGTATAACAAACCTTTAATAAATCGACGTTGAACTCAAGCTGTTGCTGCCGACCAACTTGGCTAATGACCTAGAGGTAATCAACTCAGAAAATGACACCAGCTTTAATGGGGGTGATACTAGCAAGGATGCTTAACCTGAATCACTCCTGCTATGTACTGGTCAGTAGAAGCTAATAGAAGAAGTTGTTTCAGTAGCTGCAAGCTACTACTTCGCCATTCACCAGTAACTACAGTGAGCACACTTAACAACGTAGGAGCACCGAAACAATCCGAGAACATTCCTGAACAGAAAACTTTTCAAATCTATGAAGAGAATTATTCGGAACGAGACGTTGATTTTTAAAAAAAAAACTCACGTGCATTCTCAAGATTTCCTTTAATAATAACAGTCAACAAGTCCGTGGCCAGTAGTGCAAGCTTGTTCTCGCTATCTGTGAGATCCCGTTCTGAAAAAATGCCTAAAGATACCAGTCCCAAAATATGCAACAAAAAAGGAGACATACGTCTATGAAGAGAAAACAGATTGTTAATAATGTAGCAAAGGGTATCAAGGAGACCGACTTCACGAAACGCGTCCTAAAATAGGATATCTAAGAACCATTCGAAAAGGAATTCTTTGAAACTGTGCTATTTTAACTGCTCAGGAAAGGTCTTGAGTGGGAGAATTAATTGGAGAGCAGCAAAATCATTTTTAATGTGGCATACTCCAAGTAGTGTGATTCGACCTACTCAACGGTTTACCGCCTCATCGCGGCTGGGAGGTCTTCCTGGGGAAGACTGAAATATACAGGTATTCGTTCCACCAGCAAGGACTCCCAAACTGAGAAAGAGTCCGGCGTTTCCATCAGGAAGCCCAGCTAAGAGTAAGCCAATGCCGGGATCCACCACCGTCCTGGTATCAAACTAGTCGCATGGCAGCAAATCTCCCTTTGATCCATAAGGGCTGCGGCTAACTGTGGTGGAGACGATCTAGGGCAGGCTTTGGCCAGGCCGACCTCGTGACCCCACGGAACCAGCGGCTAAACCAGCGAAACTCCGAAAAGATGGAGACTATGGTGGGGCCCGCACAGCCACTGAGGACGGGCCATCCAAGAATCAAGATTCCATAACTACCTGTTTGCCTTTAACACTTTGGAAGTATGGGAAAGCTAAAGCAACCTTAATCACAGAGTCGACAGTTAGCAAGCGAAACGCAGCTTGTACAGTAGCGATGCATATATCCTGCTGACCAGAAGCAAGTTCGGTCTTCATTTGTACACACAGACCAATTAATTCTTTACATGGAATGTAATTCAGATGGAATATGCAGTGCTCGACAAGCTCAAGTATTTTAGCCTGAAAAATCCAATGGAGAACTTCTTTCAGTTGTAAAAATAAGTGGTGCCAAAAAGATCAACACCGCATACGAGAAACAACAACTTTTACAAAGAAAAAGATTTTACACTTACCCTTACTATATCGTCTTTCCTATCCATCTGTTCAATGAACAATGCTAATGGATACTCCTTATCCAGAATAAAGTAGTTCGCCGAGTCACAAGTGTATATGGAATGAATAACGTCGACGGCGGTGGCACACACAGTGGAATTACGGCTCTGAACAAGTTAAATCTCCGATTTATAATGAAACAAGCAAGAAAAATGTTACGAAGTGATCTTTATCAAAGAGAAAAAAAGAAAATTTCCTTGCCCGGTTGAAGGCCAAGTGAAATTTCGAAAAACTTTATGAAAAGTGAAAAACGGTTGCGTATGAGAGATGAAAAATGCCTTAACATCTGAGGAGCTAAACCAGTACCTCTAGGAAGACTTTATGAATCAGACCAAACGCTTGAATATTCCTAACAGAAAGGCCACTTCCAGATGGATTTGGCAGTTGAAACGTTGGGAGTTGAACAAGTCCTGACGAATGCTGAGTAGAAAACAGTTTCACAGATAGACAAAGCAACACACATTTTTCAAAAGAGTTTTTACCTGAGGTTTAATTTCATTTGGACCGTTCGTCACCACCGATATTAACATCAACAGAATGTTACGAACGATCTCGTAGTTATTTTCATTCCTGAAAATATAAATATCTTATATATATCTATATCTAAATATCTTTTGTATTCAACGTAGTGTACTTTGTTAACAATGGATATTTTCAATCCAAGCAAAAAATGAATCCTTTCGCACTGACAACGGGTATCAGTGTTTCTACTAAGCACACCTTTCTTTAGAAACGTTATTTTCTCATAGCGATCCATATTTACTCCTAACAACAATAACATGCAATGGGTTACTCCACGAATACACTTTAACCCTCTGAACTCACTAAAATAGAAGCAAAACCTATGAGGTAAGAGAGGAACAGAGATTTCACCCGGTATGGGTAAGCTCTCCTTTCACAGTTCATTCATAAATAGTAAACAAATGGCCTAGTGAAGTCCATGTTTTGTTTTAAGAACAAAGCAGCTTCACATGAACTTTTTTCTTAAAATTCAACTCAAAAAGCAAAGTGAGAACTATATTAAGGTGTAAGATTAAATAAAAATGTACAAGGAATAAAAGCAACACTGTAAGAATAATGTCGAGATGTTTGCAAAACTCCGGACCGCTGGCGTCTGCGGTGGCGACCAAACACGTTATCTTTCCGACGACTAACGCGTTCACCACTACACCACGCAAGCCATTCGTTTCGTTTTCTCTCAGTCGTATTATTGACTTGCAGGTGCTACCAACAATCACCCGTCAACGGAAGTGATCTGGGGAGCACAAGTCGGCATTTGAACGCAGTTAAGCTGAAGCTGTGGTATAAATCACAATGCCGTCACTTTTTATTCATTGCTTACTACTCCAGAGTTGGCAGTAAATAAAAAGCAACACTATCATCACAAAGATCATAGAAAAAGTTCTAACAGTGTACGATGCATAAAGCATTAACTTATAATGCTTAGAAATGATGATCGAGTTCTCGATCTTATGATTGGGCAACAAAGCAAAGAGACGTCTCCTTGTTACCTCACGAATCCATGACGGAATCCAACTTGCTAAGCTGTCCATTATTGAAGAAGGATAAAAATAAAGGATAAAGCTCTCGGCGTTGATCAATCACAGAGAGATGCGCCGTACATTCGACTTCATCAAGCATCATTAGAGGTGATTGAATGCATATTTGGCATTTATAATGACTCGCGGTGGCCTACCGAGGCATCGAGCCAGTGATACTATCCTCCCAGACAAGTTTAGTACCAATCTGCCGACTACGGAGGGATGGACGGATTGGTGGGCCTGGGCGCAAGGGTCGATGCCGTGGGTTTCGCGAGGCACCTCCAAACACTGCGCTATACACGCCCCTTATAAAGTTTAGTTCATAAAAATAACGAAATCGACTTGAGGATATTATGTGTTAAAAAAGAATACGAGAAGACTGTAGTAAAGTCGGACGAAGAGGAAGCATAACAGTAAACAAATAATGGAGGAAAAATTTTTTAAAAAGTGTAAAAACATTAAAGGAGGGAAAACAAAGTAGATGTGGCATGGGCTTCGATTTATCCCAGAAACGAACTGGTCAGAAATCAGAACGCACCTCAGTATGAAGTCTTTGATGGCAAGGTATCCATTCGAATGGCTAAAGTCATCTATTAGTTGACTTGTTTGTCTCGATGAGTCTTTCAGAACACATAACAGACAAATAATCATCTCTGCTGTCTCCTAAATAAGAAAGGCACTTTTATTAATGACCACGAAAGCTCTTTTCATAGATGTTGCTCACAATTACATTTCGTTTTCTAAAGCAAACAACTTCAACAGTACGAGTACGTTACCTTTGGATGAAGATTTGACGACTTAATGTTCGATACATAAGTACGAATACATTCTTTCGTGACAATATACTTTACTACAGCAGGAGTAAGACTCTGTAATAGCGACCTGTTAAAGGAGAACATTATATTCAGTCATAATGGTACTAAGATAATTGCAAAACTTCAGACCGCAGGTGTCTGTCTGCGGTGAGGAACTAACGCGCTATTACCCTTTCCGGGAACTAACGCGTTCACCACCACAGGACGCCGGTCCTTCATTTTACCCGTTTATCAGCTACTTTCCCATCTACCAGTGCCATATAGCTCGATCGTTTTCTGAGATTTTAATAAGATGATTTAGAGGAATCGATAGCGGTAGTTGAAATACTACCCGATTCCCTTCGTCGTCAATTAGATCGTAACCGACTATATGACCGTCTATGTGAAACACAAAAAAACGCAATTTGCCCTTACGGCGAGGACCGTGACTGCATGAGTTCAGGTACGATATACTCGATCTCTTGTAGTATTTGCGGAGATGAATAATACTGGCGAAACGGGTAGACCTTTATGTATCCGTATAAAAGAACACCTAGATGGCAAACGAAAAGCAAGTCTAAGTACCCCACTAGGCACTCATAGGATACAAAAACATAGCGGAGAAAACTTTGACGTAAAAGTCACTATCGTCGCACGGGAGACTAAAACACCAACGCGCAAACTTCTACAGGCTTTTTGGATAAATGCCAAGAACCCTAGAATGAACAACAGGGAGGAATGCCCGGAGACCATACGTGATCTGACCCCGTGTACCTTCGCATCGACTCTTGATGTGGGGTGGTGCATTTATCGACCATAGGCGACTCTGATCAGCTGTTCCTCTTCAGTGGAAGACACATAATAAACGGTGGGTTTTTTGAGAAGCTGTTGATCGTGTGATTGCGATTCAGATTTTCATCTTTCTGTATGTATTATCGGAGCGTTTGAGTTAGTAAATTGCCTATCAATATACCCTTCCAGGCTCTGAAGAAGGAGAAATCCCCCGAAACGTCAGCTTTAATAGAATAAAGAATAACGTAACACCTCGTGTTTTTTCAACAACGATATCGAGAACTAACATGATTTAGTTGAGTTCTAGTTACCATTCTACATTAACACTGGGTAATCAAACTCGATACAAAAATTAATCAAGTAAATCGGTATGCATTCACAAAGTCAAACTAAAGCATTCAAACTCTATAAAGATTATAAAACGCTCCAGTGAATAAGGTAATGTAATAATATGCCCTCTCCATGATTTGAACAAGACCAAGTCGCCCGACCGTTAGATACTGAGAACGAATAACGTGTTACCAACCCTGCACTTACAACATCTAAAACAGTCCGTAAGAATACCGAAGTTTCTCTATTAATTCCGGAATTAGCTGAAAACCAATCTTTAGGTTACATTCTACGATACCTTAGATGACAGTGCTTCCATCATTCTGGCCGTGGTCTTTCGCCACTGCAAGTTCTCCGGAGGTAATGGAGAGGAGGTACCAAGAAAAATTAACTTCAGATCATCTTTTTTAGCCAACTCGTCAGTAACACTGCTGAAAGGAAAAACTTAGATGACTACTGAAAAAAAGTTGAAATGAAGAGAACTGTAAAGGAATAAAATGAAAACCTGAAGAAAGCATTGATATTCAGAAAACCAAAATTCTTAAAGGTCTTCGAAGTTCGTAATACGACGTGTGATTTGATCAGATGAAATAAAGCAATGTCTGTACATTGCCCAAAACGGCATATATGACTTACTTATAGGAACAAAGTCTATCCAATAAGCATGTAATCAGTTCGTTAAGCTTCTGTCTGTGTTCTGTAAACTCTTCACACACAGGTAAGTCGAAAAACAAGTACACAGTCTTCACCAAAGTACTGGGTAGTGAAACTTTGCACGCCGAATTGATTATAACTTCATCATCTCTAAAAAACAAGATAGCATAGAAGAAAACAATACTTTGAAAGTTAATATGCCACACATGAAAACAGCAAGAAATCCTCATTGGACAAATAACATTTGAAAAGTACAACCGAGGAAAACATAGGTTCCCCATAGAACAGAAGTTCTCCAACTTACGTTGACATGAGAAAATAGATCGAATTCAGTAATAACCATCCTTTCTGCGAAGAGTATGGTTGGAGATATTCAGCGATACTAGATGCCGCTTCAATAGTGCTATGACTTGAAGCGCTAAAAGACACAAGTTCACCAAGAAAAAACCTGTCAAAAGCTTAGTTATTTTAAAGGTGGCCATACCGTTGTCTGATTTCTCTTACTAATACGCTGCAAAGAAACGTTGAAAAATTGAGAATTTCTTTAAATTCTACCCTTAGTTCAGTGGGTGTGAACATTGCCATAACCTAAAAAGGTTGAACAGCAGATAAAACGATGAAAGTGTGTTCAAGAAAAGAAAGAAACTTCATCAACCGCTAGCGAAGTCACCAATCCAGGTTGACAATTTCAACAAACCTTAGTAAATAGAGGCAACAAGCGGTTTGGATCGACATCCCTTGATCCAGTCAACGGTATTCGCATATACTCGCTGAACGTCTTCCTCAGATGTAGCAACGTTAGGGTGCGATCGGCCTTATCACCCATTCTGAGCAAGCATGGTCACTTAGTAAGCGAAACTGGTCAGCGATTTATGAATTGAGACGTGATTTATCGGGTAGAAATAAAGAGAAACGGAAACTCCGTTTATGAAAGTTTACACAATAATGTAAAACGTGATAAAAACCATATTCCTTTTTGAGTTCTACTTCCTAAAACCTTCAAATCAATCAAAATCAATCAATGTGCTTTCGAATTGAACGTTGTTTCAACCTGTCAAGTGTTGTGTAAGATAACCCTATTTAAAACCATTTAACCAGGTTAGAAATTCAAGTCCACAATAGAACGCACATTTTAGTACAATTTATTTGTGAACGTTCTCAAATAGATTGACAAATCAATCCCGTGTAATCCACTTGTTTGGTTTTAAGCGATCGTTAAAGTTCGTCTACAGGATTTAGTTTAATTTCAATTCTAACGTTGAAAACATAAGTTTTGATAAGAGGCAAAGATAAAGAACACAAGCGCATGGCGGTAATTTAATAAAGAACTCTCTAGTGCTATACGAACAGAAGAAAAATGAGAGCAGTGATTGAAAAAGCAATCTTCATCTATGATGGATTAAAAACTTAGCTCCCATGAAGAAAACGTGAGTTTCATTTGTTCGAGGTGATCTCGAACTCTTTTGGTCAAGCCGAGACGCATGATAAAATTCGTTTACACGTAAGAAGATCCAAGTACACATGTATTAATATTTTAAGTAGTACACGATGGTAAAAGTTGATCGTTTCCAGGTTAGAAGCACCAACAGGACTCTTTCTGAATTCATCCGCAGCTGAGAATGAACGCTTCAAAATCGCTTTTAGCCCATGTTTAACCTATATTTTCCATCTGGAGATGCGTTTCAGAGCCTCAAAACTATCTGATGTGCAATTCTCTAGTCAAGCACTTGTGAAAAACAACAGGAATATGAGAAATACGCAAAAGGAACCTGTGAAAAGTCACCTCCACTATGTAAAAGCTATCGGTCACAGGAGAGAAGGGACCATTAGATATCCAGAAGCTCCATTACCTTAATTTGGGAGTTTCTGCACTGCAGACGTCAACCAAATGTCTAAAATAATTATGTTGAAAACGGATCACTTTGAAGGTTTCATGACAAACGCATAGGGTAATGAAGACACAGCAATCAATACTGAAGGAAACGAAATCGATCGAAAAAATACTCGGGAACGTAACATCTATTCGTAGAAGGGATTTGGCCAGCCCCATCGTCTTTTATCAGTCCCTAGACTAGTAGCACCAATATCTATCGTTAAAGAAATCGATGTCCTTCTGGAATAATTATATTCGCGCTGCAGTAAATCCGCCTCTTCTTGGATAAGAGAAGGCCACTGTTTGCGCTGAAGAACTAGGAACTCCTATCGCATCTACTTCTGGGATTCCAGAAACACCAAAAATATTAGGCCAGCATCCAACATATAAGTGAGAAGGTAAGAAAATAGAACCTCAAGCTGCAACCAAACCCATACACGAGCAAAAACGCCCACATTTCGTAGCGGCAAGACAGCGAAACGAATGGAAGTACTGATATCCGAACGACATAGAGGAATGCTTTACCTAAGAACTTAGACAAGTGTCTTCATTTCGGAGAAAGTGTTAACTCATTAGCCGGAAAAGTACGGAAACTGGAGATTCCCGGTGGGTAATGTGGGTAGAGCAAAACTCCAGGGCAGAGACGCAGAGGACGGCGGTGAGAGCGCAGACACAGAGGATCGATCTGCTGCGCCTTGTCAGGCCTGCATGCCTCATCATTGTGTGTAGGCTCGTCGTCAGCATAGGTGATTACTGTATTATCGGACTTATATTTGATAAGAAGTACAATTAGAAATTGGATTCGGTGTGCATCATAACACAGCTACCCACATAGGAGGTATTCCTGGGTTGTATGTTGGAAGAAGACATAGTGACAAGCGGGAGAGCAACGCTAACATCGAAACTGACATTAGATTCCGAGCTTTGTACTATTTTGGTTTTTCGCTTCAAATGATAAAGTTCTCTGCTTTGATTAATCTCTGAGGAACGCGCCACGCATTCGACTTCATTAAGCATCGTTGGAGGCGATTGAATGCATATCTGGCCTTTACATTGACTCGCGGTGGTCCACCGATATATCGAACCAGTGCTGCTATCCTCCCAGACAAGTATGGTACCAATTTTCCGACCCCGGGGAGATGGAGGGCTTGGTGGATCAGGGACGCGGGATCGATCCCTTGTGTTGCAAGGCGGCGCCTCTGACCACTGTTTTACGAGCGCCCGGAACTGTCGCTTACTCACAGTAAATACTGCTCTACCTTTCAGTGTAAAGGACATTGTCGTGACGTAGTTAGGCTCTTTCTTCCCCGCTGCAACAATAATTGAAAACGTTATGGAACACTTCCTGACTTATTTACGGATAACGTCTTCGTCTTATGTGATATCTCATATCGTTATCCACTGCAATGGCATGGATCTGATGCTAGAGGAACGTCTGTTATAATACAATGCTGGGTGGCACTTTATCACACGCAGTGAGTAGATCTGTGGACTTCTTTCATACGACGGATCTCTAGACTAGTTACTAGATCATGTGGCGTGTCTCCAGGTGTGGAGCAGAAGTTTTAGCGCTGGCCTAAGGCGACCATATATTTTCCATGATACGCTGATGAGTTGAGAGAACGGGATCCGTTTCTGTTAAGGTGATTTGCACTTTCTATATGCAGGTAAAAACAAGAAGATAAGAAGACAGAGCGTTCGGCATTAATCGTTTCCCTGAAGAATACGGTATTAATCTACTTTACTGTGCATCATAGGGGTTATAGAACGCATATCTAAGCAATACAATGGCCTGTCGTGGCCTACCGATGAATGAGGTAAGTGTTCTACAAGTATAGTGCCAACTTACCAATGATCTCGTGATTAATGAAAATATGCTTTTTAAATTACAGATTCTCGATGTGTCAGCCGATTATGAAACCGGCTTCTACAGGATGGATTGTCGGGAGGAAAACAAATCATTATAAACGGGCAATCACTATGACCAACAACCGTCTTCTATAAAAGCATCGCTAGGCGAGATTGTCTCAATCGAGCGATACACAACTGAAGATTTGACTCGATACGACGACGAAGACATTGAATCGAGAAAAGGAACGACTGTGAACAATCGACGCTGATCATCGGATATACGTCGGAAAACGGAGACGTCGAAACGTTAGCCAAATATACTTGTTTATCAACCTCGTGTTAGCTTACCAATGAAAGAATACATATTGACTAGTGATGCCAAAGTTAAATGAAAGTCGCTTTTTAAAGAATTGTGCTAATTTCCTGACCTCGGAGAGATAGAAGGCTTAGCGAGGTCAGGTGTGGAATCGAACCAACGACGGGGTACTTCTGACCAGGGCAAATGCGCCCTATGCACGTAAAAATACGCATAAATCTGTTCAGATGTGTTGTGCTGTGTATATCTAGACTATGTCACGCAGCAGGTTAGTTATGCCGAAAACCAATAACCATGTTACCAAGAAGTGACTTTATGGAGTTTAGAATCTCATTCAAGAACTTAGTAAATTAGCTCTTAATCAATACCTTGGGAGGGCACAATGGGTGCATACTACCCGCTAGCGGACCACAGCGAGTTATTCGAGGATATTTGCCATCGATGAAAAGTACCGAAAAGAAAAGGTTTTATCCCCTTTGCACCAAACAGTCCCCGAAACGAGTGCGTTGAGTTCAAAGAGATCCAAGCCCTTTTTTTTCGATTGCCGAGAACACATCGCTTATTCAACCGCTAATGATCTAGAAGAAGTACAATTGTTACCACTTATGGTAACTTACAGTGTCAGCTGTCCTTTTGCACAAGTCTTCTCTACTATGCCCACTCTCATCTACAAGCTTGTTATCCGACTGTCGACTATAATTGGACGATTGACAGCTTTGCGAGCAAGCAGGGTTTAGAGAAGAACTCAACTCGAAGGTTTAGTCCACGCTATCATGGAAGTCACTGGAGTATATTTTAAGAGCAAAAGACATCGTGAAGACTATGTATCATCTTCATCAAATTAAATAAAGATCTACGATTCAGTTTATCTTGACCGAAGCAGTAATGAAAGCGTTGGACAAGTAGGGCATTCTTACTTCACAAATATGCTTATTGAGCTTTACATCAACTTCATAAACAAAACTTCAGCGTTCTATCGTGACTTCAACATAAACTTTCAGAGAACTCTCCGATATGGTGATATTATTCGGAAAAACTCTCGAGTAGGGCTTGATAAAAAAAATAACGGATAACGTAGAAAAGAAAGTCATTGCCCGATAGATACATCATTTCCGTATTGCTGATGTCGTCATTCATATAACATTAGCACTAACCAGACCGACGGGATGCGGCCCTTTTTCGATGGAGCTTGTGGGGAAATCGATTTTCGCTTAAACTCAGAGACAGTTGCCCTCATGACCAACATATCTGATTCCGATAAACCTTTCTTCAAAAGCGCGTGTGGCGCAGTGGTTGGAGGCACCACTGGGACACACACGTGAAATTGATCCCCGCTCCCATGGCCAAGCCTTCCATCATTTCGGGGACGGCAAATTGGTACCAGACTTGTCTGGGAGGATAGCAGCACTGACTCGATACATCGAGTCACCGCGAGTTATTGTAAAGGCCAGATATGCATTCAATCACCTCCAACGATACTCAATGAAGCAGAGTGCATGGCGCATCCCTTTAGGGATTGATCAAAGCCGAGAGATTTAGAGAACTTTTTAACCTTTCTTATCTGTGCTCAAAGAAAAGAGCATTTTCGATTGAATTAAATATGAATATGTAAGTTAGGGAATGAACACGATTCCAGAATTGTTAGCGACTAAAGTTAGAGAATATAGGAAGAGCATAAGAAATCGTAACAAAGGTCTTGAAAGAAATGTGATATTCCTTGTCTCATCAGTGTGTGGAAAGTCCAATTGAAAATTCCGGGTCACAGCATGTAAGGCTCGATAATTTA